TACTCGGAAGATGAGGCGGAAGGATCGCCGGAGCCCAGCAGGTCGAGGCTGTGGTGGCCGGGAGCGGCCTCTGCACTCCAGTCTGGGCGACAGAGTGAGACTCCAACTCAAAAAAAAAAAAACAAAAACCTGTTTCCCATTTTATGTGGCCTTCTTAAGAAAATCTAATCTGCTTTCTTACCTTTCTCCTGTGGCTACCTACCATGTTTAGATTCTTGGACTTGTTAGCCCTTCTACCAGCCTCAGAGAAGTCTTTCCATTTGTTCACTTTGCCATACAGGAGGCAGAGGTTTATCAAAGAAAGACCTTCAGTTCTCATGAGTATTGTCCTCATACTTGTCATTTCTTATTTCAAGTCTTTACAGTTCCTTACGTCTATATTGAATCAGGGATCTAAGATATGAACTTCATGGCACTCTTGGAGGAAAGCGTTGCTAATCCTACATTATTCCAGTGTCTAGGCTGTGAGTTATGGAATTTAACTATGTGTAGAAAGAACCCCTTAGAGTTCATGTCAGTTCCTGAGCTATGCCATCACTTAAGTTATGGCGTTATTTTTGATTTTCACTAGCTAATCAGGTACTCATTGCACATTTATGTTGAAGAATTTAAGATCCTGAATGGTTTCCCAAAGTTATAATTAGACAGCTAGTTAGAAGCAAAGTGGCAGCTGGGTGCGGTGACTCCTATAATCCCAGCACTTTGGGAGGCTGAGGTGAGAGGATTGCCTGAGCCCATGAGGTGGAGACCAGCCTCGGTCACTTGGTGAGACCTCATCTCTACACTAAACCAAAAAAATTAGACGGGCATGGTGATGAGCGCCTGTGTTCAGCTACATGGAAGGCTGAGGCAGAAGGATCGCTGTGAGCGTGCTACTGCATTCCAGCCTGGGCGACAGAGTGAGATTCTGACTCAAAAAAAAAAAAAGCAGAGTGGCATTATTAACACACCTCCTACCATTAAAAAAATATATATGGTTATAGCAAAGTAGATACTAGAATAATTTGAGATGGGGAATGGATATAATTTTGGGGGTCTTTTTTTCCTTTTTTTTTTAATTAAGAGGCTTTTTATCAGGGAAGTAAATATAATATTATACCATAAAAATGAAAAAACTTGAAAACTGCATTCCTTTAGGTTCTTAGTCTCCAGGAGTATATTTCAAAGTGGTTAGTAATTTGTGTTTCCTGGACCCCCTTTAATAGCATTAGGATTGGGCGTGCAGCACGCCTGTAGTCCCAGCACTTTAGAGGCAGAGACGAGAGGATTGCCTGAGCCCAGGGGTTCGAGATCAGCCTGGGCAATTTGGGGAAACCTCATCTCTACAATAAATTAAAAAATTAGCTGGGCATAGTGGTGCGCACCTGTGGTTCCAGCTACTTGGAAGGCTGAAGTGAAAGGATTACCTGAGCCCAGCAGGTCGAGGCTGTGGTGGCCATGAGTGTGCCACTATACTCCAGCCTGGGCGGCAAAGTGAGACTCTTACTCAAAAAGAAAATATATATATATCATTAGCAAACTTGGTTTGTGATTACCCTGACTCAGAATCCCACTAAATAATTACCTCTTGTAAGATCAGAAAATTGTTTTCTTAAGCCTTGACCATCAGTTACAAGCAGTACATTTCAGCTCTTTCTCTAGTCAGTGTCTAGACTGTGCACATAATGCTGTCTACTTTGCAAAATATCTTTTTTGCTTTCCTAATAATTTACCCAGTCTTGTTTGTCTTTGTTACAAAGTCTCGCTATGTATTGCCCAGACTGGTCTTGAACTCCTGGGCTCAAGTGATTCTCCCATCTCAGCCTACCATGTAGCTGGGATTACAGGCACATTACCACCATGCCCAGCTCCAAAAATCTTAATAGTCCTAATGGGACAAGAGCTTCATTGTTAAGAAGACCTTGAGTGATAAGAGTCTCACCCCTTTAAACATAGTTTGTGAAATTATAAAACTTAAAGATAAAAAACAGCCCCCTGTTAGGTAAAAGGAGATTTCTTTTACTGTAAATTAATCATCCAACATATGATAGATCTGATCTTCATTGCCACAGGAAAACAAGTAAAGGGAACGCTGGATGGGTTATGTCAAAATAGCTGCTATTCTATGCATTATTGAAATAGCAGCAATAAGAGCACACTGCCTTTGGAGCTATTGGGGGAATGCTTTATGCAGTGTAAACATTTAGCTTGTTTAAACGGGTGAGGAAGATTGAGACCTACATGCCAAAGAGAGTATCTAACTTATAGTCAAAAGACCTTTCTTGTTTCTTCCCACTCCTGAAGAATGTTTGAAGAAATGGCACAATAAAATGAAAGCTCGTTTGTTTCTTTTTTTGTAGAGCAAATTTTTCAGAACATAAAGCAAGAATATAGTCGTTATCAGAGGTGGAGACATTTAGAAGTTGTTCTTAATCAGAGTGAAGCTTGTGCTTCGGAAAGTCAACCTCACTCCTCTGCACTCACAGCACCTAGTTCTCCAGGTAAGATTGCTTTGGTGTGCAAAATCCACTTGTTTGTAAATGGTACTTAAGATGATTTCTCAATCCAGAATTGATCTTCTCTAATTTAATAAAATTGATAAAGTGGATACATTATAGTACTACTTATAAATACTTTTAAAACCAGGAAAGTTATGAAATTGGAAGCCGGGCTCCTATAATCCCGCGCTTTGAGAGGCCGAGGTGAGTGAATTGCCTGAGCCCGCGGGTTCGAGACCTGCCTGGGCAACTTGGCGAGACCTCATCTCTACAATAAAAAAAAAAAAAAAATTAGCCAGGCATGGTAGTGCGCCTGTAGTTCCAGCTACTTGGAAGGCTGAGGTGGAAGGATTGCTATAGCCCAGCAGGTCGAGGTGGCCGGGAGCATGCCACTGCCCTCCAGTCTGGGCGACAGAGTGAGACTCCAACTCAAAAAAAGAAAGTTATGAAATTGGAAAAGACCTTAGATTTATTTGATTGTGCTTTTATCTACCCAGTAAAAGAGTATCCTCCTTTATAATTGCAGTGTGTAGCTGGGCGTGGTGGCTCACTCCTGTAATTCCAGCTACTTGGAAGGCTGAGGTGGAAGGATCGTCTGAGTCCAGCAGGTTGAGGGTACTGTGGCCATGAGTTTGCCACTGCACTCCAGCCTGGGTAGACAGAGTGAGACTCTGACTCAAAAAAAAAAAATTTACAGCCAGGCTCAGTGGCTCAGCCTGTAATCCCGCGCCTTGAGAGGTTGAGGTGAATGGATTGCCTGAGCCCGCAGGTTCGAGACCCGCCTGGGCAACTTGGCAAGACCTCATCTCTACAATATATCAAAAAATTAGCTGAGTGTGGTAGCGTGCGCCTGTAGTTCCAGCTACTTGGAAGGCTGAGGCAGAAAGATCGCTGGAGCTCAGCAGCTCAAGGCTGTGGTGGCCAGGAGCGGCCACTGCAATCTAGTCTGGGCGACAGAATGAGACTCCAACTCAAAAAAAAAAATTTAGTGTGTAATACTGTGGCCAGTAGCCACATTTGGCTGCTTAATTTTAAGCTATTTAAAATTAAATAGGCCGGGCTCGGTGGCTCAGCCTGTTATCCAAGCACTTTGGGAGACCGAGGCGAGTGAATTCCTTGAGCCCACAGGTTCAAGACCAGCCTGGGCAACTTGGTGAGACCACATCTCTACAACAAATCAAAAATTAGCCGGGCGTGGTAGTGCGCGCCTGTAGTTCCAGCTACTTGGAAGGCTGAGGCAGAAGAATCACCAGAGCCCAGAAGGTCGAGGCTGCGGTGGCCATGAGTGTGCCACTGCACTCTAGCTTGGGTGATGGAGTAAGACTCCAACTTAAAAAAAAAAAAATTAGCGCACCTATAGTTCCAGCTACTTGGAAGGCTGAGGCGGAAGGATCGCCGGAGCCCAGCAGGTCGAGGCTGTGGTGACCGGGAGCAGCCGCTGCACTCCAGTCTGGGCGACAGAGTGAGACTTCAACTCAAAAAAACAAAAATAAATAAATAAATAAATAAATAATAATGTAAAATTCAGTTTCTCAGGTGTAATAGTCATATTTCAAGTACCTGATAGCTACACATGGCTGTTGTATTAGACATGCAACTGTAGGACATTTCTATCATTGCAGAAAGTTCTGTTGAATATTGCTGCTCATCTTTGACAGGTGGTCAGAGAGGATGTGCTTAAAAATAGAAACTCTAGGTTGGAGGGAATCTTCTTGGTCATGTAGAGGAAACAAGTCTTAATTGCCATATGACCTGCTATTGGGTTTCAACAGCCCATTGTTTGAACATCTCCAGTGGTAGTGAACTCTGTCTCCTTTAACAGTAGCGGAGTTTGTTTTCTCACAAAGTATTCTATTTTTAACAGTTTTAAAGTTAAACCGGTTAATTCCCTTATATGAATCTTACCTCAATAAATTATTACTTTTTAATTGTCTTCTTAAGATTCAGAGGTCCTGGCTCTGAAAAAACACTTTCTAATTGCTCTTGCACATATATGAATGATAGACCTTTCAGTGGTTACAGCGTGCAATCTTGAGATTTAGTAATATAATCTTGAAGTTATAGACTATGGTTAGAGAAACAATTACAAACCATAACTAGCTCAATGTTTTTGTTAGGTTTTATTTGTATAGAAAGAAATAAACTCTAATTAGTTTGAGCAAAAAAATGATTTGTTTCAGAATGTTAAATGGCTTACAGGCTAACTAAGAGGGCCATGGAAATATAGCCTGACCTTTGAGGAACACCTCAGAACTGGGTACCACCAGGGCTCCTGCTTTGATTATGATAGAAAGAACGCCACTTGTGGAATTTGTTTTTTCAGTTGCCAGCTCCAGAACCAGGCTGCTGTTCCTTTAGCCTCACCATCCAAATAAATGCCTGATGCAGGCTTATACCCCACTTAATCTCAGTACTGAATTCACATCTTTTGTGAGGGAACCTGATTGGCAAAACCTGATCACACCTGAAATGTTAGCTACTAAGAAGTCTGAGAAAAATGTAGTTTTGAGTTTCACAATCTCTACTGTAAAGGGACAGAGGGGAAACTAGAAGGAAGTTACAATAGATATTTAGGCAAGGTATTTATTTGTATTTACCACAAACGTTCAGGTTCTAATGTTATATTTCTATGTTTTCTAGCATTCTGATGGGTATTTTGATTTTCTGACTTAACTTTTATGAACATTTCACCCTTCTCAACGTAGATTTAAAAAGGATCAAGGATGAGATGTGTAGCACCTAATTGCTTCCTTTATATACTTCATAAGGAAATTCTTTGTGAATGTGCTTGAACTTGATTTGAATGGTCCTAAAGGTTAATGACTTTGTGAATATATTTTGTTTTGTTTTATTTATTTATTTATTTTAATTTTTAAATTTTTTTGAGTTGGAGTCTCACTCTGTCACCCAGACTGGAGTACAACGGCCGCTCCCAGCCACTACAACCTCGCCCTGCTGGGCTCCAGCGATCCTTCCTCCTCAGCCTTCCGAGTAGCCAGAATTACAGGCATGCGCTATCACGCCCGGCTGATTTTTTGATTTATCGTAGAGATGAGGTCTCGCTGCCCAGGCAGGTCTCGAACCCACGGACTCAGACAATCCACTCACCTCAGCTTCCCAAAGGCGCGGGATTACAGGCTGAGCCACCGAGCCTGGCCTCACCTCTTTTTTTAAACATAAATCTGGATTATCTCCAGAGATCTTGGTAACTCTCATGCTGTGAATCTACTTTCTGTAATCCAGACTAGAGGATTTTTTTTTTTAAAGAGTCTCACTACATCTTCCAGGCTGGAGTGCAGTGGTGTGCACGCTCACGGCCACCCCAGTATAGACCTGATGGGTTCAGGCGTTCCTTCTGCCTCAGCCTTCCAAGTAGCCAGAACTACAGGTGCACACTACCATGCCTGGCTAATT